GAATGCCACAAATTGTCCTAAATCACTCGTACGCACAACTTAAGAACAAATCTGTGCGTACGAACGGTTCTTGCATGAGGCCCAATCTTTGTGACTGTTTTTCACACATAAAAAAAGAGTATTGTGATACCTCACTTTGTTTAAAGGTTTTGAAAGGGGTTAAAAAATCAAGACTTGGGAAAGTCAGTTTAAGCTGTCAGGAGTGGTTTTCCCCTGTAAAATGAACAAACTAACTTTTGATTCACAGAACCGATTTCCTTTAATTTACTTTATTTCATCATCCTTTTCAGAATCCTGCTGATTTTCTTTGTACAATTTAGCATTATTGTGTCTCCTCGTGTTTTCTCAGGTCCATATCATCTTTGATTTGTTGATCTGTGTTCCTAAATGGAGATTAATTTAAAATCGCTGCTCTCATGATAAATCATTTTATAGGGTATGATGAACAATGCTGCCTATTTAATGCACTGACTTTACAAAAGACACTCATGAAGTGTGAGGTGGAAAATAACCTCATGTTGTTGGCTATAATTTGTATTGTTGAGTAAATATTGCTAAGACAAGCCTCAATAACATTAGCCTGCCTTTCTTTTTGTTGTATGTTAGATGTTTTTGTTTACGGCAAATAAAAAGCTATTTAAAGATTTATCAAGCTACTTGCTTATAAAAAAATGCTTTTGAGTACAAGTTGTCTTAGTGCCTCTATGTGTAAAGTAAACACGTTTTTATTAAAAATAGCTTTTCGTAACGTGCCGTCTCTTTGGCCTGAAGCCATACGAACTGAAAGCATTGTCATCGTCAGGAAATCTGTCCTCAACTTGGAATGTCACCGGAATTTAGTGTACGTGATAAACACAGGCAACGTCCATTTTATCCTGTCCTTTTCAAGTCTTAGATGCAGATCTTTGTGCGTGTGAGCAAAAGTATTTGTAACAACCTGGGCTTAAACATTTAGAATTACTTCTAAATAGTGGATAAAGATGCTGATAAATTGAGTTGTTCTCAAAACATAATTCTCTCTGCGGACTTGGATTGAGAGTATGAAGCTAAGTTTTACACTTAAGGTGTCTCATCTTAGTCCCAAAATAGGAGAAGTAGACTTGAGAACATTCAAGTCATCRTAGAGGAAATAACAGCTTTTCTGCTTCACCTAAATATTACATTTGTCTAGAAACTTCAGAAGAGCAAAAAAAGTCTTCATTATGAAAAGTGTGGCAACAAATGTTAGTTTTTAGTTAAAATAAGTAGTTCTGCTGTGCTAAACACAAAGATAATTTTGTGTTTAATCATCTCAGCATCTTGTGCCACATCATACTGTTACTGATTATCATTTATTTATTTGCCCCACAAATAGAAAAGTTTCAGTATTTACAAGATTTCTAAAACTATGCAAACAAAATTAGAACTGTCCTGAAATATTGACATGAAACTGATGGACACGTTGGCAAACATTTGTTTAAAAAAAAGACTGATGCCACTTTGATTAAATGAMAGAAAATGACACGAATCACTAGTTTGTGCTGAAGTTTTTCTAGTATTAAAATGTGTTTGTGTTTGAATACTTCAGCAAATATACAATTTTCAATAAAGACATGTTAGTGTTCTGTTGAATTTAGGTTGCTGTGCAGTTATTTACCTCTGGAAGTTGAGAGAAGAAAAAAACGATTGCAGAAGAATGCTAATGTTGGTATTCAGTAATGTTTTTTTAATTGTGTATGGCTGCATTCTCTTGAGGGCTTTTTAAATTTTCCCAAAAAGGGAAAATGGGTCTTTAGGAGAAAATTTTTTCGCATTCATGTGCACGCGAAGGGGTAACATTAAATTTTCCATTGGCGCTTTGATGTTCACCTAATTGTCTGTTTTGAAAATTACAGGCAAGGGAAGGCTGGGATTATTTTGCCTTTTCCAACACAGGAGCAAGCATGTTATTGCTCTGTGGTACCAAAGTACTGAACTTTCTAAAACCATTACCACTACTGCTCTAAGTAAGCAAGATTATTACTATTTTCCCCATCCATTTTGACAGAAATTATAGTGTGTGACCTCCTTTTAACATGTCTCCACCAGAAGACTTRTGGTTTCTGGTTTCTGGCTAATAACAGTACTGCAGAGCAGAAGCTGATGTAAATTTTGTGATTTCCCTTTGAATGCTGTCAGCAGATTGAAGCTGTTCAGCAGGCCTTGTCTTAAAGCATGCATGTTTAGGCTGCCTTCAGGCCCAGGCCTCCCTCGCAAAACATCTCAACTGGGACTTGCCTGGTTAAATAAAGGTTAATAAATAAATAAGTAAAGAAGTGGGACGTCGTCCYAGTGTGTGTGAGCTGTGTTTGCATGTGATTCCCCCTGCGCCACCGAACTGAGAAACGCACTCATGCACTGACCTCAGCCAGATGGAAAGTCCCACTCAGTCTTTCTACATTGCATATGCAGGATTTTCCAGTTTAATTACACCACTGGAGTGTAATTTCTCGTTGATTTGTGGGTGGGTCAAAATTGCTTCTCTGTCTTGTTAAAATTTCCTCCCGCTTACGTGAATTGTTTGGTTTATCCTACACTCCGTCGCCACCCTACTTTATTATAATGTTGAATTATAAAATTAAAACATCACTTGAGTTGGTAGCTATGCTTTGGGTTGAAACGTATCTTTATCTCTGCTAATAGTAAGAGAAAACTTTTCTGCTTCTGTTGGTCGCACATTAYTTTGAACAGGTTARAACAGCCTTATAGAACAAAATATTTAAGGAATAAAGGAGACAATACACACAGACAGGTTCAAAYGTAGAAACAAAGTGATAATCTAATWTTGCGCACAAMTTTCAGTAAATAAACACAGTGTTTTATTTGTTTGAAAATAAGTAGAAGTATAATTTATTTAATCCTACTCCTTATCTACCGGTATATTTGTTAAAAGTATAATGTCTAAATGACTAAAATTGGAGTTCTTGKCTTTTTAATATTTAAAATATACTTTACATTTAAAAGTCTTGATGAGGTTTGGTGTGCATAATTTTTTTGCCTCACAAAAATCTTGACTGTTGTCTCTTTCTCTCTCTTTTTTTCACAAGGCATGCCTTTTCTGTTTAATATTAATTCTGCTCAGCAGGATAATAACCTTTTAGTGCATCTGAAGATTACTTATGAAATAACATTCTTATATCTCCAAATGTGGTCAGATTTATATTTATTAAATTTTATTTTATTGAACTTCATGCTGAGAACACTTACTGGACGTCATGTTTTGCATAGACATGGTCCAGTGTATTATATTGTTTGACCTGCAGGGTCATCATGAGCAAAATGAAGTCAAGTCATTGCTGAAATGAATAGAGTCATTGCAGCATTTAAATGTGGCTTGGGGCGGTGTGGCTAAAAACATGTTTTTACAGTTCTGCAACTAAAGTAAGCCCCAGTCAGCTGACCTCAGCTTACTTTTCATCCCGAGGGTAAGAAAACCGCAGCCAGTCAGATTGGGGTTTATAGGTTTGCAAACAAAACTGCTGCCTCAGTTGGGATTTGCAGTGGATTTTTAATGAGTCACTTTTCAGCTCTCAGTGGAGTTTTCTTTAATTTAGTTCCTAATGATAAACAAACCTTACATTTGTTTAYGCAGTTGCCACAAAAATGTTGTTTTCATTTTTATATACTGAAGMTTTTTGGGCATTAAGCTTGAGGATTGTCAAATGTTAATTTATCTCCATTACTTTTTAGTGCATGTCAAAGCTGGTGTAAACATGTACAGTCATATCTTATTGTCTTAATTGGTTTCRGGCTTGAATGCAGTTTATACATCGTAATATCAGTGCCACTGTTGACGTTTGGGATTGACTTTCTTGCTGGAATGCAACCAAAGAGGCACTTGGAGTTATTTAGCTCCACTTTGTAGATCAATTAAGCCCTTAAAATGTCAGCGCTAAGCAGAAAAATGTTGATGTAGAACATGTAAATCTATTAGATGGGGTCAATCAATAAAATGGGAGCATGCATAAAAAAACAAACTGTTGTTGCTCAGAGGTGTCATGCTTATGAAGAAATTTATAGTTATTACAGATTAGTACTGATGTTAGAAACAACATTARATTATTAGGGTTTCCTTTTTATAATATTTTTACGTTTGATCTATTCACTCAGGTCCAGAATTCTGGTGTTGTATGACKTTATTCCTTTCACAAATCATTTTATTTAACAATTGTGTTTTCATCTTGACTTCAGTCATATTGAACACGTATTTTCTTACACTTGACTTTAGTTGTAGTTTACGCGGAGAACAGTTAAAAATGTGCTCGTTGGTTTAATAATAATAACGCAGTAGTCTTATGTAGTGCTTTTCTAGACACTCTTTCCATTTTTCATGCATTAAATATTCACACATTCACACACTGATGGTGGTAAGCTACGTTGTAGCCACAGCTGYCCAGGGGCAGACTRACAGTTTAGTGATGTGGTCCTCAATCACCACTATCCTGCATGTTTCAGGTGGTTTTCTGCTTCAACAAACCTGACTGGAAGGAGTGAGTAATTAACAGGACTCAAAGACCCACTGGGGAGCAGGGAAACATCTAAARCATGCAGGATAGTGGCTCTCGAAGACCAGGAATGAGGAACACCGCTTTAGTGGAACTTTAAAGTGCATTATTCACGTTCACAACAAACACTTCTACACACTGCTGTCATGGATTCTGAACACTTCAGTCTTGGTGCAGCTGCTCCAGGAACACATTCACACAGCCAAAGCCACATCTAACAATAATTGTAGAAACAGGATATTGTGTTTTTTGTCAGCACTCAAGTAATACACTAGTATTCACACGCCTCAATGAATGTTTTTTGTCTTTAACTCCTAGGTTTTTTCTTCTGATTTTAGAGAGAAAAATGTTTCCAAAGGTTTTTGTTTTGCATTCTGTTTTGCTACATCACCTGATTCCTTTGTGGTTTTTGTCTTCACAGGTTTGTGTCCCATATCAAACCTTCTGCATCTCARTCTCAACAGAACCTCCACCACTGTGATTTAAGCCAAGCACATACCACYAGGCACTGATTTGGGGATCTCCTTTAGTTGCTGCCACTTTGTCAAGTTGAAGGCAGTCCAGTTCCCTTTTTGTCAAATTTTATTCCCTCCTTCCCTTTTTATCATCCCTCATCTCCTGCCTTCATGTGGTAATTGTTTATTAAAGCACTAGTGACGCCTCTTCTGGTGCAATGAGCAACCTGCACCAACAGCATCATGGCAGCACAGGCTCAGAGCGAGACCTTCACTCTGCAGCCTCCTCTGTTAGCCTGCCCTCRGTCAGGAAGAATCCCAAAAAGCGGCGTCTGTCCCTCCACTCACTCTTCGGAMGGCGATGCAGACCTGATCGCGACTCCAAACGCAAGTCGAGGACTCTGCAGCCTGCCGCCGCAGCGGACGCTGTTGTCAGTGTTGAAACCCTGCAGTCCGAGACGAGCCAGGACAAAACTTCCAGCCAACCGCCATCAGATGTAGCGTCAACCTCATCGGGGTCGGGGTCTTCGTCCGAGCTGCTGGAGTGCCCTCTGTGCCTGCTGCGCCACACACGCGAGCGCTTCCCAGACATCATGACCTGTCACCACCGCTCCTGCGCAGACTGTCTGCGGCAGTAYCTGCGCATCGAAATCTCAGAGTCGCGCGTCAACATCTGCTGTCCCGAGTGCTCGGAGCGCTTCAATCCCCACGACATCCAGATGATCCTGGGAGACCGGGCCCTCATGGAGAAGTATGAGGAGTTCATGCTGAGGAGGTGGCTGGTGTCGGAACCRGACTGTCGCTGGTGCCCCGCCCCCGACTGCGGGTAAGAACAGGAGATGGAAGAATAAAAATATAAATTTGTTTTTCAACAAGCTTTTTGTTTGTTTTAGACAGAAAGTTTTGCATTTTGATGCAACTGAAGACATTTTATGACTGAGAAAACACTTCTGAAGTTGATCTACTATGTATAGAACCTTTGTCAATGAATTTTGTTTTTAGCTGTTATAATAAAAATAATACGCAAGACTAAAAATAACCCTAGCCTCTTCACTGATATCAGAGCTAAAAATAGCTTGTAGTTTCCAAATAATAGACTTATTTTACTTTGTGTTGTTCCAAAAAGAGATCCAAGGAGTTCTTTATYATGTTAGGTCCTATTGTTGTAAACCAGGGATATCGTCAAAACTTCAGATTGCATCTRCTAATCATGCTTTCTTTAATCACATATTCAAAGTTATTTAGGTAAATAATAAATAGCTTCAAAATATGGGTAGTGTAAAAGTAAAAAAAACTTTAAAAATATCTAGAACATACAATTAAAAGTTAAACTGGTTGTAAATTATACTTAGAAATGGATTATTTTAAGGTTAGGCTGAACTCTTCAAACCTTTCGCCATGAGTTGAGTTTAGCCGTATTGTTTCTCACAGTTAGTTTTTCCTCTTCACATGGAGGGTAGTGTGCAGAGTTGAGGTCAGCTCAGAGTCTTGCTTGTTTGCAGCCTCGACAGTTTGCTCACAAGAGGCCAAGTTGTGACTAACGCAGACCCACAAAGAAGYATTGAGAACGAGCTGATAATTGTACTACAGATCATTACGATTGGTTAATCTCTGCTTGTTCTTTGTCCACAAACGGCTGCTGTTTTCAAGCCCCTCGGGTTCGTTTGGTTTGTAAGTAAAATCAAGCCGTGTCCTTTCTTGCAGCACCCTCATTAAAAATTAGTGTGTGGGCAAGTCTAATTAATCGTCTGAAGTGAGAGTAATTATCAGTGGCTTGCAGGTCTTTTTGAGGAACAAAGTTGCGAAAACAGTCGCTACTGTTTAACATTTAAACGCACACGTGGAAAAGGAACTTATTCACTCACTGTGTCTTGGTATTTAAATGACCTCTGCTGAGTTTTATTAGATTTACACAGYTTTAAAAATGGAACTTCATTTCCTTCTCAGAAACAGCTCCCAATTAAACTATTGTAATAACTGGTCACGTGTAGTGCTGCTTTTCAGTTTCAGCTCTAACTTTCTTCAGATGGACTTCTCTTTACCAGTGTTATGTTAAACAAAAAATGTTTTTCTATTTTTTCCCTCTTCTAGTTATGCAGTCATTGCGTTCGGCTGCGCCAGCTGCCCAAARATCACCTGTGGGCGTGAGGGCTGCGGGACAGAGTTCTGCTACCACTGCAAGCAGCTGTGGCATCCCAACCAGACATGTGACACGGCCCGACAGCAAAGGGCCCAGAGCCTCCGACTGAGGGGCTTCAGGTCCTCATCGCTCAGCTACAGCCAAGAGAGCGGAGCAGCAGGTAACCTGCAGATAGACGCTTGTTTACTAATGCACTCAAAACTAACTTGACTTGTTCTCCTGTGATTACACCCTCAGCACACCCAGGACATTTTAAATGTATTGCCATTGTGATTCCAAGCATGCCAAAGGGTTACTGCAAAGTGGACTGCATCTATGGGTTAAACTGATTAAACAAGACGTTCTGTCTCATGTCCCCTATTATGTTGTAGTCCCCCTCTTTGTGTCAGGGTAAAAATGTAGTGGGAACTAAACCCGCAGTGGGTTTGTTTTGATGGTTTTTAGGCAGTCCAAGATCAGAATTTTACCAGTGTGAAACAAACATTAGTTTCAGTCAATTAAACATTTAAAAATCTAACTATAAACAAAGAGACACTCCCTTTATAATCACAGGAACTGTGCAACATTGGTTCAACCTTTAGAAAACAAAAGAGGAGTGTGGTTTACAGTTTAACCAGTTTTAGTTTGTTCCAGTGGTTATCATTCTTTACCTCGATCCAAATATTTTAAACAAGCCTTATGTTGTTGTTGTTGTAATTCTTTTTATTTTTGGCCCATTTTAAAACATTTTAAGTCACATATTTGTCCAAATTAAAAGAAACACATGAACAACTTATTGCTGCCATTAAAAAACAGGAGTAAAGCCACAATAATAAAACACTCAACATAAATTCTGGCTAATTACATTTCTCTTTGATCCATCAACCCAAGGTGACGACATCAAGCCGTGTCCTCGCTGCTCTGCATACATCATCAAGATGAACGATGGAAGCTGTAATCACATGACCTGCGCCGTCTGCGGCTGTGAGTTTTGTTGGCTCTGCATGAAGGAAATCTCTGACCTGCACTACTTAAGGTGAGACAAATACGATGGAGTCGATGGGCACGACGGCTTTAATGTTCACTGTTTTAATTTAGTGTTTAGGTGGTAAGTTTCACTTTTCATTCCGTTTCCCAGAAGTCACCAATGTAATTTATTGTTTATTTTGTCTCCAACTTACCTAGTAACCTTGTCAAAATATTCTTTGCATTTCTGGCTGGTAAGTTGGATAACCGTTTCTGTAATTATTGTGTTTAATAAAAGTCCTGACCAATAAGACCTAATCAGGTTGTGAGTTTGGCTGTCTCATTTCTTTCAAATTTCCTCAGATTTTCTGGTTTGTCTCTATTTTAACCCTTGAAGAAATATTACTCAGTATTAATTTTCATGTATCTAAAAGCTAAAAGGCTAAGTTTTGAAATATACAGATGTTTCAGTAACATCTCTATAATAGACCACTTGTTTCTTTGTGTCCCCTCAGTCCATCAGGCTGCACCTTCTGGGGGAAGAAGCCTTGGAGCAGGAAGAAGAAGATTCTTTGGCAGCTCGGCACATTGGTGGGGGCTCCTGTGGGGATCGCCCTCATCGCTGGTATCGCCATCCCAGCAATGCTCATTGGCATCCCAGTGTATGTGGGCAGAAGGGTGAGTATTGCCTTCAGATTCCTTCAGCTGAGGATCAATAAGTAGCAGCAGTTGGTTAATGTGACATCATTAGTGCATTTATCTAACAATCATTGAAAGGTTTAATAAGCATGTTTTAAAGTAAGAAATCATGTGTACATGTTCTAAAATATTAGGATAATAGTATCTAAAATTTGTCCATCTAATACTGCTGAACAATTTATCCCATCAGATTCACAATCGCTACGAAGGCAAGGACATCTCCAAGCACAAGAGGAACTTGGTGATAGCTGGAGGTGTGACGCTGTCAGTGATCGTCTCTCCTGTCGTTGCTGCCGTCACTGTTGGTAAGAGAAAACCGTCTTCCCCTTTATATCAAATCTCTGTTGCATTATTTATCTTCTAACAAAGAGTTTTACCTGGTGATAGATGAGATAATAAGACACAGCTTGGTAATAAAGTTCAGTTTTACGTATTGAACTCAACATTGTTCTTATGTTGTGTAGGTATTGGTGTTCCCATCATGCTTGCTTACGTTTACGGCGTGGTCCCGATCTCTCTGTGTCGGAGCGGCGGTTGTGGAGTGTCTGCTGGCAATGGCAAAGGGGTGCGAATCGAGTTTGACGATGAAAACGACAACGTGGGCAACGGAGCGGCAGCCACAGGTGAGAATGTCTGAACTAAGTTATTCCAAAGATTTTTACTGAATAATATGTGGCGGCTGGGGCTCGGTGGTTAAATCTGTCCTCAAAGGAACCCGTATTGTAAAGTGTAAACATTTAATTTATCATTAGGAAATGAAAATACGTTTACACTTTACAATAAAAATCCTTTTTTGTGTTTATACTTGTTTATTAGGCATAATGGCAAGTGTCCTATTTAACAATTTACTATAAGGCTCCCTTGGATAGTTGTGGATATTTATAATGCAATGATCAAGTACAATAATATATGCTAAAATATATGTTTACAAAACGTATTTTGCTTTCAAGGCAGTAATCTCGTCTGAAATGTTTAATCTACCTCTAAAAATGTATAAGTGAACTAGGGTTGGGCAATATTGGCAAAAAAAATTAATCACGATTAATTGTGGTATTTAGCCGATAACGATTAATTTGACAATTAATCCCCTGGAGTCCCTGTGCACCCTTATGTCCTAGTCACATGACCAATTTAGTGGGAAAGATTTGCTCTTCGTAAAAATCTGTTCCAAATTGTGTCAAAATTACAGACTTCAGGCTATACATCAAATTTTAAATTGTGTTGATAGATAAATAAATTACAGAACTTGTTTTAAATGTTCGTCATATTTGAAGCAGAGAGGAGCACCGAGCGGACTGACTGGAGAAATCTCCCCTGGTGGCATTAATCATATTAATCGTCAAGAGCCAAAAACTAATCGATTAATGCTCTACTGACGATTAATTGCACACGATACGATTATGCCCAACCCTAAAGTGAACAGATTTGGCAAGAAACCTGTTGGTTTAGTCTCTCTCACCTTTAATTAATGCATAATAATCACTTAATGGTTTATAACGTGTTTACAGATAAATTAATACACACACATACACACACACACTACTTATTGGCCGTTTAGAAGGGGAGTGATATTTATAATTATTGAGGCATCAAACCTCTTCTTCTTTTTTTTTTTTTTTTTTTTTT